GACCCGGCGCAAAGGCGAGCGCGAGCGCGAGCCCGAGCTCCGCTCGCATGTTGTACCATCCCCCCTGGCGACGCGAGACTCGAGCTGTCACTGTTAGTCACACTTCTTTGTGAAATCGCGAACGTCGACTTGTGACCATGAAAGGGCAGCTCATTCGGCTCAATGGGAAATTACGAATGCATGCGAGACGGGGTGCGCGAAGGCTGCTTGCCCCAGCTCGCAGCACGATCACATCGCGACGATCGACTCAGCACCGCAACGGCGACCGCGCGCCAGGATGCCGATGCCCTTCTTTTCTCTCTCTCTCTCTCCCGCTCTCAACACCACTCGTGATCCGCGCGCGCGCGCGACTCACGCCTCTGACTGGATCACCAGCGATATGATCAACACGCGCCTCACCAATCACGAAGTCGGGACTGCCACTCCGCGGAGTGATGCGCAGAGGCAGATGGCGAATCAAGCAGCGCCACATTGGAGCGACGGGAACGGAAACGATTTTGCAATCGCGTAATCGCACCCTTATCGCCGCCTGCGTCGCACAGGCCCACGCATAGAAGCACGCTTGACTACATGGCGTCACAAATGCATCCATTCCGGGGCGCGAGGTAAAGGCCCTTCAAGTCGTGAGGATTGCTGTGTGCCTCGCGCACCTCGTGACCACGTCGTGCAGCCACAGCTGCGAGCAGCAAGCGCATTCCTGCTCACACAAGTATCGCTGGTCGCACACTCACACTCGGTGCGGTCATCACCCAGCTGGCTAGGTATATCAGCCCGTCTTTGTGAGCTGTGGTCGGCGCCCCGCCCTGAAATCACATCGCATGCCGCCGAGTGACCGCGGACGGCGCAAAGCCATCCCCTTTGCGCGCATCCGCCAAAGCCGCACTTTGAGCTTTTCATGCAAGGCGGTCGGTTTGGCTGGCGCGAAATGAGGTTCGTCATCAGAGGCCATGCCATCCGCTGCGATGGGTTAGGGTTAGGGTCACCCCGTTCTAGTGTCTGCGCGCGTTGGGGGCGGGACACATGTGTGCAATTTTGCTCTCGCGCTTGGGGTGAGAACAGCAGAGAACACAGCTGGCTGAGCTACTTTGGAGTCGTCAAGCCGTGCAAAGAGGCAATCGATACGAAGCTCATGATCAATCGATTTGGTCGCTTTGGATCCCGCGTACGTGCGATACCTCGAGCCGCGCAGGCGCAGCTCCCAAAGTATACCGCTGACGACGAGCAAAGCCATCGAAAGCGCGCTTCCACTTTGGGCTGCATGTGTCCGCGACTGCCCATGGTCTGCTGCATGCACCATTGTTGTGAGTGCAATGTACTACGTAGAGTGTCAATTGGGTGCATCGCACACTCTCCGCTCTCCCCCTCTCTGGCGCCCGCGCTTGGCCTCGAAGGTCCTCTCAATATTCCCTCTCCTCTAAATGCCCTGCCCCCGAAATGCTTGTACCTGATTGGCTGCTTCATGACGGCGCAGAAACGTTCTCTCCACCGTGCTACGTGGTGGGGGGAACTTGCGACAGAGTAGGATATAGCGGTACGACGGTGCGGTCTGCGCAATCTCTATTGCGACATGCAGCGTACGGAAGAGAGTTCCAACGCGGCTGCGTCTCGAAAGCGTTAGACTGCGCTCGCACTCTGGCCCCGAATGGCGCCCGCTAGACGAGCACGAGCGCATCTTTTCGATCGATGCTCGCCATGCCTCGCAAGTCGCAGTGGCCCACCGCGTAGCAGAGGTGAGCGTCGCTTCCCAACACTCTCGCAAAGGTATAAAAAGGCAGTGTCTTGAAGGCCCCTCTCTATTCGCTCCTCACCACACTCGGCTACCTTTTCCACGTTTCCAACCCAGAGATTACTTCTTGCAGCTTACCCAACCCTCGACGATGGCGCTTCGCGCCACGAGGCTCTCGTTGCGCATAGCGCTGCTGCTTGCAGTCGCCATCGCTGCCGTGCGTCCTGCTGCAGCTATACCGCTAGCACCGTCGAATGATGGCAATCAACCTCAGTCGAGCGTGCTCGACAGCCGTCTAGAGCACGGGTGCAGCTGGCAAGAGAGGCGCGTTGGCAATTGCTACAACGGCCGGTCCATCAAGACTACCGACGCGCTTGCGGAACGGGCAACCACAGAGACCGATGACTTGGATGGTCGCAAATCCATGTCACTGCTGTCTCGAAGCGGTGCATCTCCCAAGTCCAGCATGCTCGACAGCCGTCTAGAGCGCGGATGCAGTTGGCAAGAATTGCGCGTTGGCAATTGCTACCGCAGCATCATGGACGAGCTCAGCGGTGTCGTGCAAGCACTGCGCAAACGAAGCACCGCGGACCGTCTTTCGAGACGTGAGTAGAACAGCGGAGACTGCTCTCGATGTCACGGTAGAGTCTTACGGGTGCTGACCTGAGCGGCTCTCTCGACAGGTGACGACCACGACTCCACCGCATTAGGCCCTCGCGCTATCCACGCCCTTGGAGAACCTGGGACCATTTCTCTGGTCGTTCGTGATGATTATGCCTGCTATTGCATCGCTAACCCAAGCGAGTGCTCATGGCAAGGACCACCGCCAATTTGCAGCCGCTCCGTCAAAGCCGATCACGCCGGCACTGCACTTGTCGATCGCGCCACAAACGCCGTCGTAGAAAGTGGATCCATCTCTCTGGTCACTCGCGATAATTCGAATATCTGTTGGTGCATCGCAAATCCGAGCTCGTGCATATGGCACGGACCACCCGTAAATTGCCGCCGCTCCATCGCAGAGTCCAACCCCTTGTCTCACATCGCGGAACAGATTGAGCTCGAGCGTCGCGCCGACAAGACGCTTACCGTCTCTGCGGCTGATGCTAGCGCGGAGCTCAAACGAAGACAACTGAACCCAATCTACTGCGAGCAACATCCCACTGCTCCAGGTTGTGGACACCCCAACAAAAGAGACCTGGCAGGCGCTGCTGCTTCGGCTGGTAGAAGCGCCGCCATTCTTCCACGCCAGTCGGAGTACTGCATGTACTTTCCCCTTGATCCTGATTGCCAGCCCATGAAGCCGCCTGGACCCGGTGGGGGTGGAGAGCACCCTCCCAGGCGAAGCCTCGCAAGCGTTGGAGCTAGCTCAGAGGAGTATGCCGAGCTGCTGCGACGTCTGGATCCGCCTACCTTTTGCTCAACGCATCCAAATGCACCCAACTGCAAACCGCCGCGAAAGCGTAGTGTCGAGGATGCTCCCAAGACTGTCAACATGGGCGAGTCTCTAACGCGCAGGCACTTCTGTGATCATCACCCTGATGCACCGGATTGCAGCACGACGAGCGAGCTGGCGCGACGCGATGGACCGGGGCCGTTCTGCGCCTCTCATTCTACTGCACCCGAATGTCAAGGAACTAAGCTTTCCCCACGAAAGCGGAGCAGCAGCAGCGGCAGCGATGCAGGAGTGTCGTCGCTCCCACAGACACGTCGATCGGAGCCTTGTGAATACGGCAAGGATTGCCCCGACTCCGAACCAAGCAAACGAAGTGCTAGTGCGATGCTGAGTGTGGACGCAAGTCCTCGCGAGCTACAGCACGAGGACAGCAAGCAGAGTGATGCCGCGACGCTAGAGCGACGTCTAAATCATTCTCCCTGTCCACCCAACGAGCCTCTGTGCGGCTACGCGTCTCCTCCTCCGCCCAAGAGGAGCGCTAGCAGCGCTCTGGGGATGATCGATGGAAGTGCAAAGCTGCTTCCACGTCTCGCAGCGAGCCCGGCCTGCATCAAGGACCCCACGAGCTTTGCTTGCACAGGAAAGCCACCTCGCCGCAGATCGGAACGCGAGGTAGACCGTCGCGAAAACAGCCCACACGTTGGACTTTTGGCTCGCGCCACCGCCTGCTCTTCGCCTTTTCCCGACCCTGCGTGCTACGGCATTCAAAACCCGCCTCATAGACGGTCCATGAAAGAAGCGCGCTCCGTCCCAACGATGGAACCAATCGAGCAACGCGCGCAGTCTCTCAAGCCTTGCGGCAAACTCCCTCCAGGAGCGCAGTGTCAGGGCGGCGGCTCCCCACCACCCAAGCGAAGTGTCGAGCAGGTCATCGCGCGTGCAGCACCGCCAGTCCGCGAGAAGGATCACTCTCGCCGTGATGGTGAGTCTGTTACGCTCTCAGATTAGGCAGACAGACGGTGCACGTGAGTAGAGACTGGGAGGGATTGTAAACATGAGATTGTGCTGACGTAGTGCCTTTTATCTGTTGCAATGATCTAGAGCCTGGCTGCCCGGGAACTCCCGCTGGGTACGGCTGCCCAGGGATTCCAAAGTACACAGAGCCAGATCCCGAAAATCCCGGCGTTCCTCCCTGAGGTATCCGTTTCGAGTGACGACGTCTTGCAAGCGGGAGGGATATGACGATCGAATATATATGATTTGCGCCGCTTGTTTTGAAGGCGAAGCGATTCGCGATTGTGGACTTTCGATGACGGTTGCAAGAAGTGCAGGTGCCAGCTTCTGAGCGACACGTCGGCACCTTTTGCGCCCATCTCGCACCTGCGTCGCACGATCAAAGCGTTCGCGATGCCACTCACGACTCTCGAGCATACATGCGCTCTCAGCCGTGCGTGTATGCATTCAATCGAGCGGCTCAACAGCATCGAATTTGCTCTGCGGCCCGCTTCCTTTCGATATCTTAATCTTGGCTCCTTTGCCCTGCTGTGACCGCTTTCGCTTATGCAGAACGAGGTGATGGCAGCGTGGACGGTAGAGCGAGATCGAATGTCACGAGCACAGTGCAAGGACGAGCATGCCCGCGTGCGCGAAGACGAGTCAAATTCAAGTCATATCAAGCCTCTATGTTTGCGCACGTCCTGCTCGAGTTTCGCAACGGGATGCTCGTCGTCGATGCCACCCTTGCCAGTCGTCGGTCGCATTGCCTCGGCTTATCGGAACGGACGATTTGCACGCCCGCCCGCCTCGGCCTTGCTCACCTTCGCATCGCTCGGCCTGTGGTGAGTCGTGAGACGCATTGCTCGGGCTATCGACACGAGTGACACGGGCGTTGTCTTGATTCTCGTCGATTGCAAGTACTCCCCTCCTTGACCGTTGTGAGATGCACTGGGTGCGGTCAAACGCTCCATGCTACACACAATGCCATCGATGGTAGTACCGTGCAGCCAAATGCCGACTCTTTGATTCGATGCGTGCGACGCGTGTCGAGCGATTGAATGGCTGTATGCGCCGTGAGGCGGATGCGTGCATCATCACAAAGTTTGACCCGCGAAGGCTAAGCTAAGTCCGGCGCACTCGAGCGACTTGACGAAGCTCGGTTCAGGGTTGCGTAAATGCAAGGTGCAAGGTACACCCTGTGCGACGGTGCGTGGCACCGCAGGAGGTACAATCCGACGACCAGCAGGATGTGAAGCTCGAGACAAGCGTCGAGGCACAGCACAAGGTCTGACAAAAGGTATTGCTCGAGGCGCGGCACAAATCTAATTTCTTTCCTTTAAGCGATACCGCGGGCGATTATTTGACCGTGCCTCGCCGAGATGGTTCAAGCGAGCCTAGCCGCGAGCCTTGGCGGATCGCTCGCGGTCACTCTCGCCCCGAGAGTTGAAATGAGCGTGGGCGCAAACCTGTGCGCGTACCTCGGCGCGTACCTTGACGCGTACCGCGACGCGAGCCTTGCGTCGAGCCTCGAGGGATGCCTCGAAGGATGCCTTGAGGGATGCCTCAGCACGTGACTTTTGTCGTACCTCGAGGGATGCCTCGAGGGATGCTTTGATGCGTGCCTCCCGCTGAGCCTCGCGCCGGTGCTTCAGCCAATGCATCTTCACATGGTTCAGCCCAAGGGTTAGGGTTAGGGTTAGGGTTACAAGGGTATCCCCAAACAGGCTTTTGGATGGGACTTAGACCAGCTTGTAGAGGCCACTGAGGGGCATATGTGGTGAAGAAAGTTTCAAATATAATTATCGATTGACGGTGTGAGGCAAGATTTTGTTGCGGGGAACCCAACATTTGGCTGGTGAGGTCTGCCCACACTGGACTTTTTCAAAAGCCTAGAAAGCCATTTTGTAGAGCATGGAAAAAGACTGGGGCATGCCAAGAACCAGGTGGAAAGAACATGAACTCAGTGAGGAAATCATCAATGAGTGGTGCACAACCTCGCCTACCTCGCCATGCATTGGTGCTGCCTCAGTTTAGGGTTAGGGTTAGGGTTACAAGGGGTGGCCCAATAGGGTTTTTGGAGTTTGTGTTATAGGCATCTAGCGGG